AGTTGATCATGTCAGTGTTCTGTTTCAATTACTTTATTTCTGCTATGCCAAGTGATTAATGATGATGCTGGAAATATGTCTGGCTGCTGCTGTAGTGGTTTGAGTTTATTACTGTACTACTATGGAAATACTGAATTTTGAATCGTACGTAAAAACACTGAAACTTGTTCTATGATCAGTCGCAAACAAAGTTTAAAAATAAATACACAAAACTTTTTGTGCTTAGGGATGGGTAGTTATTGATTCAAATCTTCCTGAAGCTGGTAGTAACTAAAAGATGTGGACATCTGACTCTGTTTTGATTGTCTGTATTAAAGATGGTCTGTCTCAGTTCAGATCATAGTGGACTTCACAAAAATCAAGAACACACTTTGGCCTGGTCTACACTTGAAGGTTTTGCCAGTACAGCTATACCACTAGACTGTGTTCCTGTGGATGCAGTTTATACAAGCAAACCTGTTCTTTTGCTGGTGTGGCTTATTCCAGCTCCCTCCCCATCCCACCCGGCGCAGCTAAAGCACAGTTTTACTGGTATAACTGCATCTACACAAGGGGCCTTAGTGACTTTTGGAGTCTGATAATTGAAACCAAAAGGCCAGGAGACTAGACTAAACTAATCTTTCCAATGAAGTGAGCTGTAGCTCACGAAAGCTTATGCTCAAATAAATTTGTTAGTCTCTAAGGTGCCACAAGTACTCCTTTTTCTTTTTAATCTTTCCCTGTCATTGCTGGTTAGTGTAGTTTGGTTTGCAGTGTTGTTAAGCTAGATGGAAATCATTTTCAGAGGAGGACTGTGAAAAATATACAGTCCTGTTCCACTAAATTTTGCCTCTCCAGTTCCATGGGTTATATACAAGTACTAGAAATCTAAATACTAAGTTGGGTGAACTAGAGCAGTGGTTCTCAACCAGGGGTGTGTGTACTCCTGGGGGAACACAGAGATCTTCCAGGGGGCACATCAACTCATCTAGATATTTGCCTAGTTTTACAACAGGCTACATAAAAAGCACTAGCGAAGTTAGTACAAACTAAAATGTCATACAATCACTTGTTTATACTGCTCTATATAGTATACACTGAAATGTATAGTATTTATATTCCAATTGATTTATTTTGTAATTATATGGGACAAATGAGAAAGTAAGCAATTTTTCAGTAATAGTGTGCAGTGACTCTTGTGTATTTTTATGTCTGATTTTGTAAGCAAGTAGTTTTTAAGTGAGGTGAACCTTGGGGATACACAAGACAAATCAGACTCCTGAAAGGGGTACAGTAGCCTGGAAATGTTGAGAGCCATTGAACTAGAGAGCCTGGCATTAAATGAGGATAATGGCATAACAGGCATCATGGAAACTGGGAATGAGGATATTCAATGGGACATAGTAATACAAGGGTACAAAATATATAGCAGAAGTGGCCAAGTTTACTGCTCTGAGCCGCATATGACAATCTTCAGAAGTATGAGAGTTGAGGGGCGCCTGTCAGGGCTCGGGGCTTCTGCCCTGTGGGAGGCATCTCTAAGCCGCATTTTAACTATAAAAGAGTCGCCTGCGGCTCGTGAGTCATAGTTTGGCCACCCTTGATATATAGGAATGACATAGTAGGGTGTGCTGTTGGGGGATTGGCACTGTATGTTTAAAAAAAAAAGCATAGAATCAAATAAGGTGAAAATCTTAAATGAATAAAACTGTACTATAGAATCTCTATGAATAGACATTCCATGCTTGAATAAAGAGGGTATAGCAGTACGAGTATGCTACTGAACACCTGACCAGGATGGTGACCGTAATTATGAAATGCGAACAGATGTTAGGAAATGCAATAATAATGGGTGATTTCAACTATCCTCGTATTGACTGGGTACATGTCATCTCAAGGCACGATACATGCCTGATTCTTGGAGCTAGTTCTGGAACCCACAAGGGGAGACGCAATTCTTGATTTAGGTTATGGCTACACTGGCACTTTACAGCGCTGCAGCTTTCTCACTCGGGTGTGAAAAAACCCCCCCCCCCCCCCCCGAGCGCAGCAAGTTACAGCGCTGTAAAGCACCAGTGTAAACAGTGTCCCAGGGCTCCCAGCACTCTAAGCTAATCCCCTCATGAAGATGGAGTACCAGGAGATGGAGTACCAGTACCACACTCGCCCTTCAAAGCACCCCCGCTGCAGCGCTTCGAAGTTTTAAGTGTAGCCATGCCCTTAGTCCTAAGTGGAGCACAGGATCTGGTCCAAGAGGCACTTATAGCTGAACCATTTGGTAATAGTGACCATAATGTAATTAAATGTAGGATCCTTGCAAGGGGGAAGATACTAAAAAAATCCCACCACAGTAACATTTAACTTGAAAAGGGGGAGCTACACAAGGACACTAGTTAGACTGACATTAGTTGGACTGAAATTAAAAAGAGCAGGCCTAAGGCTGAAGGGCCTGCAAGCAGCATGGAGATTACTTTAAAACACCAGAATAGAAGCTTTGTCTTTTTTTACTTGGGTTATACATTAAAGTCTGTCAGAGGACCAAACGAATGCTACCATGGCTAAACAGCAGAGTAAATAGGTCATTAGAGGCACAAAGACATCTTTTAAAATTTGGAAGTAGATGCTAATGTGGAATGTAGAAAGATGCACAAACTCTGTCAAATAAAATATAATAAGGCAGGCCAGGAAAGAATTTGAGAAGCAACTTGCTAAAGATGCAAAAACTAACAGTAAAATATTTTTAAGTTTCTCAGGCTTCTTGCTTCTGATGAACAGGCAGGGGAGCCTATAGATGACAAAGATATTAAAGGAGCATTCAAGGCAGACAAGACCATTGTGGAGAAGATAAATGAATTCCTTTCATTGGTCTTTACTGCAGAGGATGGCTGGAAGATACCCACATCAGAGAGATTCTTTTTGGGTGACAAACCTGAAGTACTGTCCCAAATTGATGCCTCAGTAGAAGAGGTTTTAGAACAAATTGATAAATTAAACAGTAGTAAGTTACCAGGACTATATGGTATTCACCCAAGAGTTCTGAAGGAATTCCAATATGAAATTGCAGATCTACAAACTGTACTGTGTAACCTATCACTGAAATCAGCCTCTGTACCAGATGACTGGAAGGCAGCTAATGTAATGACAATTTTTAAAAAGAGCTGCAGAGGAGATCCTAGCAATTACAGGCCAATGAGCCTAACTTCAGAACCGGGCAATTTGGCAGAAACTATAGTAAAGAACAGAATTATCAGACACGTGGATAAACAGGATTTTCTAGGGGAAGAGTCAGCTCAGCTTTTGCAAAGAGAGGTCATGCCTCACCAATCTATTAGAATTCTTTGAGGTGGTCAGCAAACATGTGGATAAGGGTGTTCCGGTGGATATAGTGTACTTGGATTTTCAGAAAGCCTTTGACTAGGTACTTCACCAAAGGGTCTTAAGGAAACTAAGTAGCTATGGTATAAGAGGGAAGGTCCTTTCATGGATCGGTTCTAAATTGGCTATTACCATAGGAAGTGTTATGAACTTCAAAGGACTGTACTTAACAATGTGGCATGCAAGAATGGACTTTTGGAACGAACAGAATCAAGCGATTTGCTTGGGACTCTCTAGAGGAAGGTGAATGTAAATTTCTCCCCACCCCCTGATTATGCAAAAATCCAGCCTTTTGAAGCTATATCCTGATTACCTGTTCCAGGAGTCTGAAGATCAAAGGCCTGAGCAGTATAAATGAAATACTAGTCTGTGCATGGGTTTGCTTTTTCTGGGCTAAAGCTGTTAGGAACTTGTAACCACAGAAAAACCTCTTTGTGGAGTTTGAAGGACTGTCTGCTGGAGTTAGGGGGTATCTCTGGTAAACTTATTAGCATGTGTAGGTTCTTTTATTGTTTTTAACATGTTTTCTCTAATGCTTTCACCTTAAAGAAATTATACACGTGTTCTTATAATTGCTGGCATTTGTATTGTTCATAGCCTTCAAAGAGAAAGCAAAATGCAGACAGTGGCTGTCTAAGCAGTCTGGCTTACTGAAAGTATCACAGTATAGGCAGGGAACTTTGCAGCCTGGAAAAACCTCAGTCAGGAGCGAGAGAAACGTGGTCTCCACCCAGGAGAGGTGATGGCTGAGGAACCGAGACTTGAGTGGTTCTTTGTGGATCACAGAGGGGTTATACAGGTGCAATTTCTCTGAACGGAGACAATGTTGATCTCTTGTGGAAGGAAATTCTGTAGGTGTGAGCCACACAGAAAACCGGTGTCCCTACTTCTGAGAGTCTAGGCTGTGTTTTTGACAATTGAACGGTTCCTGATAATAAAAGCCTTGTCTTCACTAGTGAATTACACTGTTGCAACTTGCACCTGAGTATCTGAATCAGTGCAAGTTGAAAGGGTGCAGTGTGTTGGTGTTTCTTATCTTACTTTGGGTGCAGAGAGTGCACTAAGTCCTCCCAGAACATTGTCTGCCAGCATTGCAGGGCATGTGGATTCATTGTCTCTATCCTACAATTCCCAACAGAGCTCTCTCAAGCTAGGCATTATGTAGCACCAGAGGCAGATTAAGATTTATTGGGGCCCTGGGCACCAAGTAGGGTTGCCAACTTTCTAATCGCAGAAAACAACACCCTTGCCCTGCCCCGAGTCCTGCTCCTTCCCTGAGATCCCGCCCCTTCCACAAGGCCCCGCTCACTCCATCCGCTTTTCCCCCCCCGTCACTCGTTCTCCCCCACCCTCACTCGCTCATTTTCACTGGGTTGGGGCAGGGGGTGGGGTTTGGGCTCCAGGATGGGACCGGAAACAAGAGGCTCAGGGTGCAGGAGGGGCTGGGGATTGGGGCCAAGCGGTTTGGAGTGTGGGAGGGGCTCTGGGATGGGACAGGGGGCTGGGGTGTGGGAGGGAGGGAGTTCAGGCTCTGAGCTGGGGGTGCAGGCTCTGCAGTGGGGCCAGAAATGGGGGGTTCAGAGTGCAGGAGGGGGCTCAGGGTTGGGGCATGGGGGGAGGGTGGGGGTAAGGAGTGCAGGCTCTAGGCAGCGCTTACCTCAGGCAGCTCCTGGGAAGCAGCCAGCGTGTCCCTCTGGCTCCTAGGAGCCTGGTAGGGAGCCTGCCAGCCCTGCTGCGCTGCCAACCGGATGTTTAACTGCCGACCAGAGCCGCCAGGGTAAAAACCAGACACTGGCAACCCTAGCATCAAGAACATTCAGGTCCCCCACATCCCACTCGCCACAGGGCCCCACCCCATCCTCTGCCCCAGTCTAGAAGCCAGAGCTGGGCCATGGTAAGGGCTGCCCAGGAACCCCGGGCCGCTATGGGGCAGGGGACATGTGGTGGCTCTTGTGTTAACTTGCCACTGCGTAGCGCACATTTCCACCTCTTCACATCTTTTTGTTTGTTCCGACGGATGTTTGGAATGGTTCTTTTGCAAGGTGATGCGCACATGTGCCATGAGGTGCAAGGGATGTGCCGTTATACCCTCATGCTACCAGTGCTGAAGCCATGGTGGAAAATGACAAGCCTTCGCCTGAGCCAGTGCCATATAGACTGTGTGCTGGCATATCTGGCTATTAGGAAGAGCCCGTCACCATTTTGGGGGTGGATCTCAAGGAGGTGAGGACCTAGATTTCATTATTTTCATTTATAAATTCAGTGTTTTATTAAAAACAGTGTTTTTGTTTTATTTTGCTGCTCTTTTTGGTTTGGAGTGGAACTGATTCTTTCTTCCTTTCCCCTTTAGGAGCCAGACATAGGATTTAGTCCTGGTCTGGAGAGAGGACATCTCTAGTGAGTAATCCCATCTCTCTTCCCCCACATAATGTAGTGGAGTTCACAGGGGAATGTATTGCTTCTTGGTGATGGCTGGAGGAAGGGAACAGCAGCAAGTGGGTTCTGGAGCAACACAGGATGGTAAGTGGATTTACTTTGGGGAAGGGGCATGTGAGCTACGGGGTGGGTAGATTTGCTGTGATTCCTGTAACTCATGGTCCTTTTCTGTATTCTCTTTTCCACGTATTAGGGCTGTGGGAGAGGCTGATGAGGCATCACCCAGACTTGTTATAGCAGTCCCAATAAAGTAAGTATATTGGTGGAGTTTGTGTGTCTACCAAGTAACCATGATTCTTGCATTTTGTATTTTTGTAGGACATCCTACATCCCTCCTGGACATCCCTCCGTCTGTTCCCATTTCCCCCAAATTAGGAAGTGTTCGCTTAAAAGAAAAAAATGAATAAACCTTTTTTCCCCATTCTGTTTGTGTGTCTTGCTGTGTTCCTTTTTAAGTTTTGGTGGAGGTTTGTGTGGTTCTGTTTGCACAAGCAATGCAGAGTGAGACAGCATAAGCTGACATGGTGCTTAGCCTTGCTAAGCAAATGCAGTTACATTTTTGTCTGTGGATGTATAGTGTTTTACAGGCATCCTTTGAGATGCAAGGATGGAAGCAAAGCCAGAATGCAATGGCGTGAACAAAGCTGAATAGCATTCACTGACACTTGTAATCCAAAAGCCTTAAACAGAAGAAGCATCCCTATCTGAACTGTGTATATCTTCTTTTCTGATTGTGTGTTTAGTGTAAATCAGTCCTGCTAAATGATATGAAGAAGAAAATACTGGTAGACATCTCATTTTATTTTTCATCATACTGTGACTAATCTGGTGCAGGCTTCCATTGAACTGCATAATTTGGTGGAAATCAAATGGATGTGTAGTTTTAAGAACAATCATTCATTTTTTAAAACATATTTATATTTTATTTAATATATACAACATAATACGATTGAGCATTGACTTTTTACTGGGCACACTACTGAGTTTAGTTGCACATCTTCTGTAAACAACATCTGCATGAGGTATTCCTTTATATTGCTAGTAGCTCCCACACTGAATGTCTCTCTTGATAGAATAATATTAATTATTCTAAATAAGGGCTATCAGATGGTGGAAAATGAAATGTTACATGAATATGTCTGAATGGTTAACCTGGGATGCATACTTTTTTTTTTTTTTTAAATAGATCTTCTGATTTCCTAAAACAAAACACCACAAACCACTATTCCAAACCCTGGAAGGGAAGATGGAATGATTTAAAACATTACATTCAGAGTTTCAACGGAAATCCAAAGATTAAAGTGATTGGAGTTGTTGCAAAAGCTGACAACAAATTGAAATAAAAACCGCAGTGGCAGGCATTCTACTATTTTTAAATAGAAAGGATTTACTAAATAAATGAGTAATATATACACAGATATGGGGAATTGTACTGCAGAAAGAAGGCTGAAAAGGGCTTTCTGTTAAGAATGTTTATATGCTGCATATGTAACTATGAGAAATACCTGCTTTACAGGGTGTATGTTTTCATAGCGCTTTGATGAAGTAGGGCCCAATCCTGCAAGGAAATGAGTGGACTCCACTCACTTTGGTGAGCATCTACTTTTAACTGAAGTCACTTTGCAAGCTCTGACCCATACACTGGCATGTAAGTGTTAAGTATGTATTGTATTAATAAATATTTACAGAGTTAAAGCAAATAAATGTATTTTCCCTGAGGCATTGACTGAAGCATTCAGGTTACACTCGCCAAATTCCCATAGAAATTAGTGGAGCTGCACATATGAATGAGGGTGGAGGGTGCCAAAACAGGGTTGTATGCAAGGTTGGTGTAGAAATTTATTATGTTGCTTATCCCAGTTTCTCCTTTTTTGCTTTTCGTTTTTCTTATTTAGGGTAGTGGGGTGGGGGGGAGAGAATCATGACTGAGACCAGCACTGTAAGGAAAACACAGAGCTAGCAGAAATGTCTCCCTGTATTTTAAGTGGGAGATTCAAGATTTTGACTCTGATTGTAGCCAGGATATTTATTACCTTCACCATAGCCTTATGAGGTTACTGCTCTTTTTCCAGGTGCATTGTCTAGATTAGTGATGGTTTTCCATAGATGGGTCCCTTCTGGCCTCAGATTGTGATAATTTAGCCTGACCTCCTGTATAATACAGGACAGAGAACTTCCCCCCAAGTAATTCCTAGAGAAGATTTAACGAAAAAAAATCCAATCTTGATTTAAAAATGGTAAGTGATGGAGGATCCACCAGAACCCTTGGCAAATTGTTCCAATGGTAATTGCTCTCACTGTTAAAAAAAATGTATGCCTTATTTCCCTTCTGAATTTGTATATCTTCAACTCACAGCAGTGTTACTTTCCTAGATGACTGTATTAGTCAGTGATCTGGAAAATTAAATTATCTCTAGATCCTATAGAACTGTTACATTATTTAAAAAGGTTTATACTTAAACAGGAAGATGTTTCAAGAGTGTTGTTTGCAGCACTGGATATAGTCCTGTTTGTGGTGGTGTGCACCCATATTTTGGGCAAAGGCTGGAACATCTAAAAGGGAAGGCTTAAAAAAGGCTGTAGGACTCAGCGGAACATATCCGAAGAATACCAACAACGAAGAGTAAAACAAAAAGGAGTTGTGGTCATGTCAAGAAGTCTTGGATACACCGAATGTACCTGAGCCCTGATTCAGGAAAGGTCTTAAGCACGTGCTTAACTCCATCCCTGTTCAGGACTGCCACTTCAGACCATGCTTGGTCTCATGGACTTAAGTGGGACTTCAGTGCATGCTTAAGTGCTATCCTGAATAGGGGTGCTTTTTTGAATTGGGTCTCTAGTGCTGGAACATTTAAAAGTCTGTCAGCATTACCATTAGAAGCACAATTTTTCAGCATGGCTCTTTATGTGATGGTAAAAATTCACCAAGCCTGAAACTTGGCAGATACTTCTTGGTTTAGGACTGTTTAAAAAAATTGCTTAGCAGCTACATTTATACAGTTCACTTGACAACCTGGAGAACTTAAACAGCTTCTATTTTCATATGTAATAAATAAATTACAGGTAGAAGGAATCATGGTTTAAATCACCAGAAAACTTAATGGAGGAAAATTCAAGTCTTTTACTCCCACAATTGCAATAAGAGTATTTTTAGGCAATACTTAAACATGAAACTTAAACACAGCAGTTTTCTACCAGGGATACTCTGAATGTGACTCATTGCTGTGGTTAGAACCACAGTAGAAATGTTAACAGCAACTAAGTTTTCTGAAAAGTTTTTTGTGCATGCTCTCCCATACTGAGAAAAATTAGGAATGCAGAAAGTAGAGCTGTAATTGATTACTCCTGATACCATCATTCAGAGGTCTTTCTGCAAGAAACCCTCTACTCTGTTAGAAATGGGTGTGCCACCCTGTCCACAGGCGCCGCCCCTGCAGCTCCCATGGGTCACGGTTCCCAGCCAATGGGAGCTGCGGGGGCAGCGTGCGGTGTCTGTTGGCTGCCCCTACACATAGGAGCTGGAGGGGGGACATGCCACTGCTTCTGGGAGCCATGAGGAGTGGGGCAAGCCCCCAACCCCACTCCCCGGCATGAGCTCATGGGTCAGATGAAATTGTCTGGTGGGCCGGATGCGGCCCCCGGGCCATAATTTGCCCACCCCTGATCTACATGGACACCTTCATTTTATACATTTTTTTTTAAATTATTTTCACTCTAAAACAGAAGGCATCAGATGGACACAGCTGATGACCCAGACTTCATCAGACATAGAGATTGGGATCAGTCATACACTTTACTTGCATCATTAACAGAGGTTGTGAGTGTATATCACATTCAGACGTCAGACTTAGACACTACGGTAGGTTTATTGAAAACATCCATTGCCTTAAACATAAATCAAAATAAATTGATAGCAGCATCGTAGAAACACAAAACAAGCAGCCTCAAGGGAAAAATAATAATTTTCACCTAATACCACATTTTTATGCGTTTGATGGTTTCCAGGCTGCATTAAATTCCTGGGATGAGCTCCCAGCCCCACTGAAGTCAGTGGAAATTTTGCCATTGACTTAGCAAGACCGAAATTTCATAGTGGTATGCAGGACTTCATCATGCCATTGATCTGTACTTTATCATTGTGACAGGCATATTGTAGGCCAGGGCCTCTGACAATGTGACCACAGCTGCAGATGTATTTAGAGGAACAGTAAATGTAAGAGGAAAATCCAAACTTTCTCAGCTGGCTTGGACGGCAGCGAAGCTCATGTTAATTTGTTCCTTCAGAAAGAATGAACATAGATTTTTCCAGATAGGAAACAGAGGCAACATAAGTGACTAGAAATAAATATGGTGAACAAGTTACTCTGAGAGTGGTTGTGAATCACTTCTTGTTAATGGGTATTGAAAGTCCTGATTATATTCTGAAATCACCTTTCTGCCCTACATGGCAGATATGCAAGTAGTCTGGGGGCATAAATTCATAAACAACCTTCGTATTTGATTCACTTTTTCTTATATCTCTGCTTCCTTTCATCTTGGTAGCTTGCTCCGGAGTTAACAGGCAGATGCCCATGTATTACACACAGAGGACTGAGGTTTGTGTGTGGGCATGCTGTGTGAAGATCAAACAAACGCCATAAAGCCACTGTGGTGTACGTTTCTTCTTGCAAGTAACACCTGTGTAAATGGAGAAGGGATTGTACTGAACACAGGATGCCCAAATATGTGTCAAAGAAAATGATGTTTTGGGGCCATAATTAGCAGCAAGGAAACTAGAACAGCCAATACTTGATGCTATTAGCAGAGTCAAACCAGCAGGGTGAGACTTGTGAGCATGGGGGACTGGACTTTCTTGGCTGCTGGCTCACGACTGTAGAACTCACTTCTACAATGAATAAGAGTGGCTGTGGGCCGTAGTTCTTCAAGAGCAAAATGCAGAACTCACGTGGCTTAGCTTATGCACATGAAGTACATAATAATAATTTTTAAACTGTGAGGGAGTGGGAGAAAAACGTAAGTAATAAAATAAAATCAAGTATTCAAATGGTGAAGAGCATGGTCTAAAAATATGGAAGAGATGGGAGGGGAGCTTCAGAAGTGACCCTCAGATTGCAGCATTGTCCTTGATCTTGTCTCAAGTTTGAGTCATCATGGGACACCAGTAATGGCGTGTTGTTCGGGACAGGGTAGAAGTTAGCTGTTATGCTAAAGTTGGCATGAGTAGATGCAGAGAGAAAATGATGGAAATGGATGAGAGACCACTGCTCTTGCATTGTTGGTGAGGATGACTCTGCTGTACAGGGCAAATTCTGCTTTCTTTATTCATGCAAATAGTGACTTCAGGGGAACTGCTTGTGAGCCAAGTACTTCAAAGGGAATAAGGACTTCAGAGTTTTTGGCCCTGTGTCACTAGGGTAAGCAGGATTTGGCCATATGACTGTGGCTACAGAAAATAGTTATTCTAAAACTTGCCGTGTTGCCCACTCTCACAAGTCTTAACGTTAGTTGGTGTTTTTCTTAAAGCCCCAGCTCTTCAAGTCATGCTATGTCATAAGAATCTTTGTTTTCATTTTTAAAAAATAAG